CCTTCAGTTCTGCTCTGATCTTGGTTATTTCTTGTCTTCTGCTAGGTTTTGAGTTTTTTTGATCTTGCTCCTCTAGCTCTTTCAATTTTGATGATAGGGTGTCAATTTTGGATTTCTCCACTCTTCTCATGTGGGCACTTATTGCTATATATTTTTCTCTAGAGACTGCTTTAAATGTGTCCCAGAGATTCTCGTATGTTGTATCTTTGTTCTCGTTGGTTTTGAAGAACTTCTTTATTTCTGCCTTCATTTCATTGTTTATTCAGTCAACATTCAAGAGCCAGTTGTTCAGTTTCCATGAAGCTGTGTGGTTCTGAGTTAGTTTCTGAATTCTGAGTTTTAACTTGATTGCACTATGGTCTGAGAGACTGTTTGTTATGATTTCAGTTGTTTTGCATTCGCTGAGGAGTGCTTTACTTCCAATTATGTGGTCAATTTTAGAGTAGATGTGATGTGGTGCTAAGAAGAATGTATATTCTGTGGATTTGGCATGGAGAGTTCTGTAAATGTCTATCAGGTTTGCTTGTTCCAGGTCTGAGTTCAAGGCCTGGATATTCTTGTTAATTTTCTGTCTGGTTGATCTGTCTAATATTGACAGTGAAGTGTTAAAGTCTCCCACTATTATTGTGTGGGAGTCTTAAGTCTCTTTGTAAGTCGTTAAGAACTTGCCTTATATATCTGGGTGCTCCTGTATTAGGTCCACCCATATTTAGGATCGTTACCTCTTCTTGTTATATCGATCCTTTTACCATTATGTAATGTCCTTCTTTGTCTCTTTTGATCTTTGTTGCTTTAAATTCTATTTTAACAGAGACGAGAATTGCAACTCCTGCTTTTTTTTTTTTTGCTCTCCAATTGTTTGGTAAATCTTCCTCCATCCCTTTATTTTGAGCCTTTGTGTATCCTTGCCTGTGAGATGGGTTTCCTTCATACAGCACACTGATGGGTTTTGGCTTTTTATCTAATTTGCCAGTCTGTGTCTTTTGATTGGTATATTTAGCCCATTTACATTTAGGGTTAATATTGTTATGTGTGAATTTGATACTGCCATTTTGATGCTAGCTGGCTGTTTTGCCTGTTAGTTGATGCAGATTCTTCATTATGTTGATGCTTTTTAGCATTTAGTGTGATTTTGGAATGGCTGGTACTGGTTGTTCCTTTCTATGTGTAGTGCCTCTTTTAGGAGCTCTTGTAAAGCAGGCCTGGTGGTGACAAAATCTCTGAGTACTTGCTTGTTTGCAAAGGATTTTATTCTTCCTTCACTTATGAAGCTCAGTTTGGCTGGATATGAAATTCTGGGTTGAAAGTTCTTTTCTTTAAGGATGTTGAATATTGGCCCGTACTCTCTTCTGGCTTGTAGAGTTTCTGCTGAGAGATCTGCTGTGAGTCTGATGGGCTTCCCTTTGTGGGTGACCTGACCTTTCTCTCTGGCTGCCCTTAGCATTTTCTTTTTCATTTCAACCTTGTTGAATCTGACGATTATGTGCCTTGGGGTTGCTCTTCTTGCAGAATATCTTTGTGGTGTTCTCTGTATTTCATGGACTTGAATATTGGCCTGCCTTGCTAGATTGGGGACATTTTTCTGGATAATATCCTGAAGAGTATTTTCCAGCTTGGATTCATTCTCTTCGTCACATTCAGGTACACCTATCAAACGTAGATTAGGTCTCTTCACATAGTCCCACATTTCTTGGAGACCTTTGTCATTCCTTTTTGCGCTTTTTTCTCTAATTTTGGCTTCTCGTTTTATTTTGTTGAGTTGATCTTTGACTTCTGATAATCTTTCTTCTCCTTGGTCAATTTGGCTGCTGAAACTTGTGTATGCTTCACGAAGTTCTCGTGTTGTGTTTTTCAGCTTCTTCAATTCATTCATATTCCTCTCTAAGGAATCTATTCCTTGTTATCATTCTTGTTATCATTTCCTCAAATCTTTTTTCAAATCTTTTTTTCAAGGTTCTTAGTTTCTTTCCATTGATTTAGAACACGTTCTTTTAGTTCATGGAAGTTCCTCATTACCCACCTTCTGAAGTCTGATTCTGTCATTTCATCACACTCATTCTCCGTCCAGATTTGTTCTCTTGCTAGTGAGGAGTTTTGGTCCTTTGTAGGAGGTAAGGTGTTCTGGTTTCGGGTGTTTTCCTCCTTTTTGTGCTGGTTTCTTCCCATCTTTGTGGATTTATCCACCTGTCGTCTGAGTAGTTGCTGACTTTTCAATTGGGTCTCTGAGTGGACGCCCAGATTGTTGATGATGAAGTATTTCTGTTTTTTAGTTTTCCTTCTACCAGTCTAGCCCCTCTGCTGTAGGACTGCTGAGGTCCACTCCAGGCCCTGCTTGTCTGGGGTACACCTATAGCAGCTGCGCAACAGTGAGGGGTGCTACCTGTTTCTTCTTCTGCTATCTTTGCCCCAGAATGATGCCCACCAAATGTCAGTCTGATCAGTCCTTTGTGATGTGACTCTTTGGATATACAGGGGTCAGGGAGCTGCTTGAGGAGTTGGTCTGTACTTTATAGGAGCTTAAGTGCTGTGCTGTGAGCTCCGTTGTTCATTCAGGGCTGCTAGGCAGGTACGTTGAAGTCTGATGCAGCAGAAGTCATAAATCCTTTTTTTTTCCTCAGATGCTCTGTCTCGGGGAGTTAGGGCTTTATTTGTGAGTATCTGTTGCACTGTCCTGCCCAGCTAGGAGGCAGTCTAGTCACTATCTGCCTGCCGAGGCTTCCCCCTTCTGCCATGGGGTCCGTCCTGTTGCTGTGGGCTCTGCCAGCTGCCGTGGGCTCTGCCCTGTTGTCGTGGGCACCACCCTGCTGTCATGGGCTCTGCCCTGTTGCCGTGGGCTCCGCCCTGCTGCCAAGTGTAATTCCCTGTAGTCCTGTTTATATGGGTGTGGTTAGGACTGCTGTGGTGATGATGGCCCGCCTCTGTATTGGCGGACTCTCTCTGTCATGGCGGGTTGCCTTGGCAACCGCAGGCTGCGTCAGCAATGGGAGATTACTTCAATAGGGGCGGAGTGCCTTAGTAATGGCGGATTCCCCTTCCCCACCGAGCTGCACTGTCCTGGGTTCAGCTGTGCCCACCGTAAAACTCTCAACCCTGAGCGTTTCCAATCACCGTTTTGTTTGTTCCTGTTGAGGTGGAACCTGCCAAGCTGATCAACTGGCTCCCTGCCTCAGAGCCCTTTTGTTGTTGTTATTGTTGTTTTTAAGTTGAATGGTTGACTCTCTCCCAGGTGTTTCAGTCGCCTGCTGAAAGGGCACCGGGATCTGTGTGATTTCCCATGCAGCCACCCCTGCACCGGCTCAAACGTCTCTTCCTGGGAATCTCCTGGCCTTGCTCACTGTCCAAGTCCCGTTTAATCAGATGAATATGCTAATCTCCCCTCCCAAATCTTAAATTGCTGGTTTAACAGGGCACCCAGACCAGTGCATTTTGTCCGGGGTGCCGCTGCACTGCAGCGCCGGCTGAAATGGCCGCACCAGCCAAAACAGCTGTGCTGGCGTCCCATGCCGCTCCTACACCTGGGAATTTCCCGGTCTGTGGGTAACAAAGATCCGTCTGGAAATGCAGCGTGCACTCACCCTCTGCCCCTTCACTGAGAGCTGCAATCCTGAGTTGCTCCTACAGCGCCATCTTCCCCCTGTCGGGTTTACGTTCTGAATATCCTTGTTAATTTTCTATCTCGTTGATCTAATATTGACAGTGTTGTGTTAAAGTCTTTCACTAATATAAGTTTATTATAATAAAATTAACTTCATTAAGTTGATCTGCAGTCTCTGATATCCTTTCTTCCAGTTATCAGTTTGGCTTTTGACTGTTGTGTATGCTTCACAGAGTTTTCATGCTGTGTTTTTCAGCTCCATCAGGTCATTTATGTTCTTCTCTAAACCCGTTATTCTAGTCAGCAGTCCCTGTAACCTTTTATCAAGGGTCTTAGCTTCCTTGCATTGGGTTGGAACGTGCTTTTTTAGCTCAGAGGAGTTTGTTATTACCCACCTTCTGAAGCCTACTTCTGTCATTTCCTCAATATCATTCTCCATTCAGGTTTTGCCCTTGCTCGAGAGGAGTTGTGATCATTCGGAGGAGCAAAGGCATTCTGGTGTTTTGAATTTTCGTGTTTTTGTGCTGGTTTTCCTCATCTTCATGCATTTATCTACCTGTGAGTTTTGAGGCTGATGGCCTTTTGATGGGGTTTTTTGTGTGGGTGTTCGTTGATGTTGATGTTTTAGCTTTGTGTTTGCTGGTTTTTCTTCTAACAGTGAGGCCCTGTTACCTCAGTCAGAAATGGAGAAATCACCTGCCTTCTGCATTGGTCTCACTGGGAGCTACAAATTGGAGTTGTTTCTGTTTAGCTATCTTGGCCCCTCCCTGGATGTCACAAATATTGTTCTTAATCAAAACTGTGACTTTTGAATGGCTTAGGTTTTTATGAAGTCTGTTTTTTCTTAACATTAGTGAAAAAATTTTTGTATTACAATTGATGACAATTGATAACTAGATTTGATGAGGGAAAGTACCTAGAGTCTACCAGGTGATTGGTGTCTAATTTTTAAAAAATTAGAGATCATTAAAATTTGTCATACATTAATTCCTTAATGCTGAGAAGACAGCTAATGAGGCATATCTAAAAAAAATTACAGTGTGTCATTCTTATGATTTAACTGTGCAGTGAGGGTTGGTTACATTATTTCAGCTGATATTACCAGTTTTGATAGTCTTTATAATAATTGTGAATTTTGATTCTTACATTAAAAGTATCAATCTCTGTGGGATTTCACTTGGTACTCATCAATAAGGCTAAGCTAGTAGTCACTTGCAAAAAGCCTCATATTTCTTCTTTAATTGCTGTAGTTCAGTGTCTTAAAAATGAATGTTTAATCCTACGATTTCTTAGTCATGGAATTTTAGCAATAAAACATGGGGGCTGCAGTGCTTCATATTAGAGCATCAGTTTAAATATGAATTATCTAATGTGTACTTATCTTTTTATCTTTTTTTTTTAACAGACTTGTGAAAGAAAGCAAACTGATCCCACTCATTTTTGAAGTAATTCTGGTAAGAACAGAAATGTGCATTTGAAATTCAAATGAAATTTTAAAATGGTAAAGATTTTAACCATGTTGTATGGCTGGGTTGCTTACCCCAACTTTGCCCTGAAGGATTGTGTGTCCATCATCATCACCCTTAACCTCATTGGAATTCAGCTTCCTCATCTTTAAAGGAATGTCAGGCTCTGAAATTATGTGGGGACACTGGTTAATGACTGCCCTTTACATTTTAGTTCTGTTGTGTTAAACAATATATATTTTCTGACATAGATTACTTTATCTGAGGTTGGTTTGTATAGAGAGGGAAGAATGATTATTGCTACACTTCAGTATGAATTTTCTGGTGCTCAGTATGAAGCCCTCTGACTTTGCAGCTACTGGGCACCAGATCAGTAGTTCTATGCCCGTGGTCAGAAAGTTTTCTTCGGAACTTAGAATGTCTTCGCTCCTGTGCACCATTTTTTCTGTTCACAGAATATACTTTAATTTAAAACTATCTGTTAAAGAAAATCTTCTTTGTGTTTCCTATATGTCAAGAGTAAAATGGGATGCAGGATTGACTTTCCTTGTCCCTGATAAATTCCTAGTGATACCAAATACAGATCTGTGACTTAGGCTGGAAACCGAGTCGGTACTTACAAGCAAGTGCCCATAGTCAAAGAAAGGTTCTCTTGTCCCTGGATGTGTTATCTCCTTTTACTCAGTAGTTTACTTCCCTAGCTCTGTAACAGCACAAGGGACAACAAAGGGGGCGGGGCACTTCCCCAGCCAGATCAGCCTAATTTACCTAGTTCATCAATGGGGGAGCATTAGTTGTGATAGTCTGTTAACCCTCCACATGGAAAATCAGCTTTCTTTAATCATCTTAAAATAGTATTCTGTGAATCATTTGTGTGCTGTCATGTCCATATGGTGAAAACCATCATTTTCCTTAGCTGAAGATTACTCTTACCCTTTCAGGATTGTTGAGTGGATTTGCTGAGTAGAGATGGGAATGGGTGCTATTCCCAAAGCATGTTCAGGATGCTCAAGCATGTTCAAGATGACCGCTGTCTCGATGAGTGGAATATGTCATGTTAGAGCCTGGACTGAATTGCTTAGAATTGTGAAGGAGAATTTTAGAGACAATGTTAGGAGACAGGATGGAGAATGGGCAGATAAAGAAACATGGAGCTCCAGAGCTGTCTGATGGAGATGTGAAGTTTCACCCATGACGTGGGTGTGTAGCTGTTCCCACCTTCAGTCCCATGCACATTACTTGCCAGTTTGTTACAGAGTTGGGTTTGTTTTGGAGGCAGTGGTGCAGCATACTGCTGAGTGTGGCCACATGGTTGGACTCAGCCACATTTGGATGCATTTGGAAAGAGGCTCATCCTATAGACAGCCTAGGGCTAAAATGGGCCTTAATGGGTCCATGTGATTCATCCTCTTGCTGTGGCAGGAGAGCTTTGAACCCATTGGGTCAATACAACTCCTTTTGTGGCTGACAGAAAGTTCTTACCTTATGCTTTGGCAATCATCTCAAGGTCTAAAATTTCACCATAACGAATTCCTTTTTGTAGGTTACCAGAACCTCTTCATACTTGGTTAATCTCTGTGTACTGAGCACCGAGCAAGTGTTTTACAAAGAATAATAAATGTTTAAATAATTGATTAATGTCACAATTTGAACCCTTGTCGTTGTGGTGTAGCTGTCACAGGGAATGGGTAGAAGGTGATATCTACTCTGCAGATCACCAGATGAGCATTTCAGCCAGTCCTGAGCCCTTTGGCCTCGCAGGCATGTCTGAGATGATCCTCCTTCTCTAACCAGAGACGCTCCATGCTCACATTTCTTGTAGAACATTATCTGAAAAAGAGATCTTGCTGCCAAAATGTAAGGAAGAAAAGTGTTGGAAATCACTGCTTTATGAGGCAAGAGTTTGATGTCCTTGAAGAACATTATTAAATTCCTATTCTACTTTTGTCTTTTTTGAGTTGAATCATCTCAAATTTTTTCTGTGTGGAAATACATTTCAGTCAATGAGATGTCTTTATGGCAGTTACCCTGTGAACTATTACTTTGTCCTTTTCAAATTGTTGTCACCAAGCTAGATGGAATACAGTATTTTCTTGATTCTATGATGCACACATTTTTTTCAGATTTTAGCATTTCTGAAACGGTGATATACTTTCCAAATCAGTGGTGTTTTACAGTTGCTTTCAGCCAGGTGACCTGGTTGTCATTGCCTTAACCTATTTATTTCACTTTTATTTTCCTTTTTGTAAATGCCTAAAAGTGATATATTATAAAAATCTATGTCTGAACAAGTCTAAAAGAGCTCCTTCAATAAAAAGAAGATAAAAATTCTAAGTAATAAGAAACCATGTCACAGTTTAATTGGCAGCATTTTTCTTTCTTAGTGCTTGATAAAGTAATGGTGCATCTTAGAACTGATGGATTTCTAGTTTCAAGGAAACATAGTATATATTTCACTTTGGGTTTGTGTCTAAGTTTTGAGGGCCTTGGTGCTGTCTAGCATATATATGCCGGCTGCTTTACAGTGATTTGATCAGAACAAGTCATAATGAGAAGATTGTGTGGGGCGCTGCATGTTGGCTGCCACATATGCCTTCTGGCTACCCATTAAGAAAACAGCAAAACAGCATTTGATTCATTTAGCTGCTAGTCTGCTGTGGCCTCCTGATGACTTTTTTCTTTACTTTCCGCTCCTCACTGTTTCCCAGCTTCTGTCTGATGTGCTTAAAACCTGCTTACGAGCTTTGTAACTTCCTTCTTCCTTTCTAGAGTTTCTCCTACGATGTGTTCCTCTCCTAGATGTCTTCCGTTCAGACAGTGAGGGACAGCGGTGGGGTGGGGTGGTTGGGGAGGGATGACATTGGGAGAAATGCCTGATGTAGGTGACAGGGGGATGGAAGCAACAAACCCCCATGGCGTGTGTGTACCTGTACAACAGTCCAAAACTTAAAGTATTAAAAAAAAAAAAAAGGAAAGAAAAGAAAGAAAGTGGGTCTGTCTCTTCTGATGTGCAGGAATTGCAGGCAGATGAGGTGAAGGGACTATAGTTTTGATTTTGACATCCTATCTATATAAAATAGCCAAATGGAAATCTTAGGAAGAACAGACATTTCTGGAGTTGTGTGGCAAACCATGAGCTCCAAGTATGGATTCAAACTGGTTAAATAAGTAACCAATTGAAATTAATTTTTATTAGTTAGGAAAAAAATTAACAATTATCTCCATTGTCACTACCTCCCGAGGAGGCACACTGCCACTTCCTGCCTGGATGGCTCATACGTAGGCGCTCTTGAGTTCACGTTGCGGAGAGTGATGTGTATGCATATGGTCGGGTAGGAGCCTGATAGCTGTTTGTTACAAAGGTGGGTGTGGAAAGCTATGGACCCTGGAGAAGGGAGTGACCAACTCTGGGAGGAGGCAGGAATCTCCCAGAAAGAGTAACTTTTGAACAGGGCCTTGGGGACAGAGGAGGAGGTATTTTGAGGAAAAGAGAAGGGACTCCCACTTGGGGAATGGGACGGCTAGGTCCGTATGCTCAGTGCTGGGTATACTTGGCTCTCAGTGTCTTTGCAGGATTCACTCTAGGAACCAGCCTCATACTAAAATCCACAGACACTCAAGTCCCTTGCAAGTCCTTCTGTACACTTTAAATCATCTCTGGATTACCTGCCAAACCTAATGCAATGTAAATGCTGTGTAAATAGTTGTTACACAGTATTTTAAAATTTGTGTTACTTTTTCTTGTATTGTTATTTTTAATTTTTTTCTGAATATTTTTGATCGGTGGTTGGTCAGATGCACAGATGTGGAGCCCATGGATAAGCAGGGCTGACTGTCCTTAGATGAACCCAAGTACAGGGAGCATGGACCATGAAAAAATGGTGGGGAATAAGGGCAAAGGGTAGTTTAACCTGAAAACCTACAGGGCTTTATACTGTGCTTATTTCTTATTTGTTTGGTTTTGCAAATAGTTTATGCTCTTCAAAATCAGGTAGTATCCTGTATTTGAAAAAAAAAAAAAAAGTCTAGAAGCCCTGTGCTTTCGGAGGCCTGTGCACTGAGGAGGCAGGCTGACTGGCTGCAGGTGTGGGACTCAGCAAACATCAGGCTCAGGTGATGGGCATGTGCTGGAAACTTGAGTGTCCTCCTTCAGTCATGAGAAGCTTGGAAGGGTGGAAACTAGATTCTGGGAGTTTCTGTAAGTTCTCATCAGTGAGGCTTTTGAGATCAGTCAAAGGGACTGTGGGTAAGGGAACGTAAGATACAGAGCAGGTCTCAGATGTCTCATCCAATGTCCCAGGAGTTCTAACATCACATCCAGGGCAGAAAGTGCAGAGAATGTTTTTAATCCTGACCACTAGCTTCAAGTTACCTGGTCCCTGGCAGGCCAAACAGCAGAGAAAGCCAGGTAGCTGATTGCTTACAAAAAATGGCTGTTGTGGGCGCTGGGTGCTGCTCCCCAAGCAGAGCCCACCTGGGTGAGGCCTCTGCATTTTCGTTGGCAGCGCAGGGCAGCTGTGTTGGACAGGGAGTGGAGGCCCAGGCAGCATGTGCTGGATTCAGCTGAATGCAGTTGTATTATAGGATGCCCAGTCTTCACGGCCTGCCGCACTGAGGCAGTCTGGATCTGGTTAATAAATGCGGGTTCCTGAAGAATGTGAGCCATGAGAAGAGCCTCTTGACTTGGCCTTTGAGTGCAGAATTGTTGGATACACAGGATGGAGGACTCTCTTTTTTTCTCTCCACTTTTTCCAAAGAGTAGAAGTCGCTTTTCAATGTGCCTGAAGTGGGAATTTGGATGTATCAGCGTTTGGAGTTTGCTATAACTCTAATCTTTCTTCATGTTGTTTCAGTGGTTTATGTTTTGGCCTACTTCAGTAAATCATTTTAATGTCAAGTAATATAGGTAACCTCTGTTTTATTGGAAAAAAAATATTCACGGCAGATTTTCCAATATATGCCAAAATATTGCTGTCATGATATTTTAT